AAGTTCCAATATACTAATGCACATTCTTTCCTCTTTGACGTTAGATTACATTCCCAGACTTCTAGTAGATAGTCCCATCATTTGAAAGCTAATTTTTGTGGAGGCAACTGGCCAGTATGAGGATCCAAACTTGTGACTTTGGTGTTATAAGGCCGTGCTCCAACCACCTGACCTTGAAAGCCAATTTGGGGGGAAGGTTGGAGGTGGTGCATATGTCTCAGATAACCTATTTTGTACCTTTCATTTGTTTACACAGTTATTTTCTTCCTACTGCAGGAATTTGCCTTAGAAATATAGAAAATTATCTTTTGTGTTGTTTTGAACTGCATCTCTAGTAGGGAAGAGAAATTTGTAAACAAAAACATTGACACCTGAGAAGGATGGTCTGGGGGGGTTTCTCTAATTTGGGGAACTTGGGTATGTGGCTTTGATGCTCCTCTGCCAGATTTTCTGATTATGTATGATTACTGCAGGTAGCGCTGGTGTATGGTCAAATGAACGAACCACCTGGTGCTCGTGCCCGAGTAGCTCTGACTGGATTGACTGTGGCTGAATACTTCAGAGACCAAGAAGGTCAAGATGTACTGCTGTTTATTGATAACATCTTCCGCTTTACCCAGGCTGGCTCAGAAGTAAGAGGGGAAGCTTGAAAGGACCTGGTTCATTTGACCTTTCTGTGGAGATAAAAGATGACACCCAAGACCTTTGTTCCTACTCTTTTTTCTTTTAGGTATCTGCTTTATTGGGCAGAATCCCTTCTGCTGTGGGCTATCAGCCTACTCTGGCCACTGACATGGGTACTATGCAGGAAAGAATCACCACCACCAAGAAGGGATCTATCACTTCTGTCCAGGTAAGCAAAAGTAAATGGATGAAGGTCTAATTTGTATAAAGGCATGTAGAGAGGTATAAAATTTAGTTATATCTCATACAGGGATTTTCATCGGTGGTTCATGAGCTTCCTGAATAACATGTTAAATTCTGTGTGTGCATGTTAAAGACCCTAAAAGGTTAAGAAATACTTATCTAAAGTAGTTGATGGTACTTTGTGGGCCAGCCCCAAGGTGGACTTTTGAATGTTAAAAAGATGGTGTGAGAGAGAGGGAGGTCAGAAAAGGGGATAGAATTGGGGCCGGCCCGTGGCTTACTCAGGAGAGTGTGGTGCTAATAACACCAAGGCCACGGGTTTGGATCACATATAGGGATGGCTGGTTAGCTCACTGGGTGAGCGTGGTGCTGACAACACCAAGCTAGGGTTGAGATCTCCTCATCAGTCATCTTTAAAAACAGGGGTGGGGTGGGGATAGACTAAGTAGAATTACTTTGGTTCCTCCTGCACTTCATGAGTTCTTGACTCACTTTAGGCTATCTACGTGCCTGCTGATGACTTGACTGACCCTGCCCCTGCCACTACCTTTGCCCATTTGGATGCTACCACTGTGCTGTCCCGTGCTATCGCTGAGCTTGGCATCTATCCAGCTGTAGATCCTCTAGATTCCACTTCTCGCATCATGGATCCCAATATTGTTGGCAATGAGCATTATGATGTTGCCCGTGGGGTGCAAAAGATCCTGCAGGTGAGTGTATTGCTATGTGGGATTGGTGGCCATCACGTCATAAAGAGGGAATTTAGGATGTAATAGGTCTGGATCTCTCCTAGTGACTTGTGTGATTTATCTTGGAGCAAGGAAAGTTGAGACCAGCAGAGTTGCTGGTGAGTACTACTGAGGTTTCTTGGGTTTCCAGGTACTTTAGCTTTAGAACCCAATTTTTTCTAACAGCACCAGATTAAGAATAGGGAGACACTGACCTTGGCTAAGAGCCCTCATGACTCCTGTTAACTTGAAACTTTTCTATAGGCTTGCAACTCTTAGGTTTTTGTCCAAATTTAAAGGAAGGTGAGTACTTACTCAGGCCGCTTTCATCTTGTTTTCTATAGGACTACAAGTCCCTCCAGGACATCATTGCCATCCTGGGTATGGATGAACTTTCTGAGGAAGACAAGTTAACTGTGTCCCGTGCACGGAAAATACAGCGTTTCTTGTCTCAGCCATTCCAGGTTGCTGAGGTCTTCACAGGTCATATGGGGAAGCTGGTACCCCTGAAGGAGACCATCAAAGGATTCCAGCAGATTTTGGCAGGTAAGATTTTGAGTACAAAGCTGAACATAAAATGACAGAAAAACTGAAATCTTGAATACTCAGTTATGCTATATGTTTCCATTTCAGTAACCATCAAGCAATATATAATATATTGTGCCTATTTTTTAAATTAAAAAAAAGCTAATTCACATCAATTTTGTTTGGAAGTACTTTGCATTTACTTCTGAGAATGTGACTGGTATACTTGATTCACTTCTCTTTTATATTTAGTCCAACACATACTGTTTTCAGCGCTAGCTACTCTTCTGAGTGACCATGTATTTTTAATCCATACCAGCTATTCTTAATCCATATTGTATCATGTCTTGTAAATTTGATTTGCGAGGTAAGTTTTTTTCTTTTTTTTTTCCTTTTTGTCTTTTTTACTGACCGGTACCGGGATCGCAACCCTCGGTGTCGCGCCCGTACTGGGGACCGGCAACGGGATCGCAACCCTCGGTGTTGCGCCTGCACTGCGCTCAGCCAGTGAGTGGGAACCGGTCTCCACATGGGATCCGAACCCTCGGCGGGAGCGCCGCCACGCTCCCAAGCGGCGCACTCTCCAGTGCGCCACTGGGCCGGCCCAAGTTTAAGTTTTCTTAGATGACATGAATTCATCACATTCTGACAAGTGGCCTTAAGTGGTAAGGTGTGGACACTTTACAGAAAGTTGATATCTCCACATCTTACTAGTTGGATTTTTTTTCCCCAAAGGTGAATATGACCATCTTCCAGAACAGGCCTTCTATATGGTGGGACCCATTGAAGAAGCTGTGGCAAAAGCGGATAAGCTGGCTGAAGAGCATTCATCATGAGTGGTCTTTTTGGCAGACTAAGCACTTGTCCTCCGTACTGTTCTTCTCCTTGCCCCTAATCCAAAAAGCTTTCTGTGTAAGCCACACAAGAGCCTTGAAGACATTATGTTCTGTGTGAAGAATATTTAAGGTTTCCAATAAAATGGACACCCCTCAGAATTTGTTTTTCTTGGTTCTGACGACACAGTCACACACATTTTTGACAATGAGATTTTTAGAGTGGCCACGAGAAGCAGTTTTAACACAAAGTAGCATATTTGAAATGGGGTCATCAAGAAAGAATAGCCATTTCTCTTGGATTGATGGACAACTATGGGTCTTGTGAGGGGTTTCCTGTGGGTAGTACGACGTGTGTGTGTAGCTAGCTGGTACAGGGTTCAAATCCTGGACCTTGGTGTTGTCAGCACCATGCTCTAACCAACTGAGCTAACTGGCCCAACTCGTAGTGTAATCTTAATAGCAAGCTTTAGCCCTTTCACAGCATATGTTCAAAACAAATTGACTTTTTGCTTCTTAAATATTCCATACAGCACATTCCTACTTGGTTAAAAAGTAAAGGGATTATTTAGTAGGGCATATAGGGAAAAATGGGTTGGTTTTAGAAATAACTTGATCCTAGACAATGCAGGGGGGTTATCAGTTAAATGAATTAAATTTTTAGGAAGTGGTAATGATGAGTACTGATCCTTGTTGAGTCAAAAGGGCTCCCTACTAGGCCTTTATTCAGAAGTCCTTCCTAACTCCTGCCTCATAATGTTTTGTGCAAGCCTCGACTTGCATGTTTGTTATTCTTTCTAAAGTTGTGCAGGGGTATAAAATATGAGGCCCAGCCTGAGCTCCGCTAAGCTCCCTTATGAAAGTTAGGGAAACAGACTTAATCTGTTACAAGGGAATAGCAATTTTTAGGGTTTCTGAACTAAATGGGGCTGGCCAGTTAGCTCGGTTAGAGCACATCCTTGTAACACCAGAGTCGTGGGTTCAGATCCCCATACCAGCCAGCAGACAAAAAAAAACCAAACTAAATAATGGAATCAGATCACTTTACCCTTAACTTTAGCTCACTAAAAATGTGCAGGGTTAGAAGGTACACTTCAGTTTAAAACAAATGTAGCACAAGGTCAGATTTGTTCTTTTCTGGGCCCAGACACATCCTACTGCCCTCTTGTGGTAGCACTGGAGACTCTGCAAGAACTCTGATCTCACCATTTTGAAATCCATGAAGGCCATTTGCTGGGATGTGGTTTTCAGCTAATGACTGTTTACAAACCAGCTGGGGCTTTTGTCCTGAGGAGGAGCCTGTATCTATAAGCTCCACCCCCTGAGGCCTTCAATTTGGGTAGAAGCTGGGCAGGGAGAAGCCGAGTTCCCAATTCAGAGGCCCCTGGGGGCTGAAGGTTGGGGAGGGGGCCTTGGGAGAGGCGCCAGGGTTGGAGTAGGTGTAGGGGCTCCTAAGCTTCCTCCCATCTGCCTACGTCCTTTGCATCAGTCTCTCCTGTATCATGATCTAGACAGAAGGTGGAGCCCCTGAGCTGATTGTGCCTGGTCGTTCCCAGAAAAGCTTGACTTTGGGGAAATAGAGTTATGGAGGGGGTTGGGAGTGGGACTCTGTCTCTGGAGTAGGTAAGAAGTTGGAGAAGGTGGCCACAGGGTTTGGGTCAGCCCTTTCTGCTTTGTTTTCCCACATCACCCAGATGCAGACCTGGGAACTGAAATCCTAAAAGTCATTTGCATCCCTCCACCCTTTCCTCTGACATGTAAACGTCCTTTAGCGTTTATTGAAAACCTTCTTCCTCTCACTAACTGCAACTATTTATTTCCTTCCCTTTACTGTCCTCTTTTACCACGCCACTGGAGTGTCAACATAGTTCTAACCTTCCTCCATATTTCTCCTGGTCTGCCCTGTTCTCGCCTCCTCCCTCTCTCCACCCAGAGAAAGCCCCGCCCTCCCCTCCTCCCTCCCCACCCCGGTCTGTCACACAGGGACATCACCCTACAGCAGTTCAGGCCGTGTGGTTCGCAGGAAGCATACACTGGCTTTTTGATCCTTGCTAGTTCCCAGCTCACACAGTTTGGGAGGAATTAACACCAATCACGTGAAGGGGGGCCCAAGGACACTGAGGAGCTGGGTGGTCCCAGCCTGGAGCACTACCAGCCTGACATGGGTGAGTATGGGGACCAGCCCCAGGGAAGGCCTGAGGGATGCCTAGCTCCCTCCCTGGCTGACTCAGCAGGGGTGGGGCCTAACCTTTGCTCATTTGCGGAGTGAAGGAGGAGAAAAGGGACTATGGGGTGGGAATGGGGGTGGGAGCACAGGGCTCAGCTGCGACCATGGGAGCCTGAGCATTGGTAAGCTCCAGCTGTAAGGAAGAGCCTGAGACTGCAACTTAGGCCAGGTCTTTCCCTACCCCCACCTCGACCCCGTGGAGCTCTCCCAACCCCTTTGCTCCTCCCCATTTAAGCTGCTGAGATTCAAGTCATATTTTACAGTACTCACTGCTAGCCCCCACAAAAGTAAAGCCCACTTCTGGTCGTGTTGGTGGGTCTTTAAGGTAACTCTCCTCCCCCTAATTTCTCAGGCCTTTTAAGTCCCTGTCTTCTCTCCTCCCCCACCCTGACCCACCACCAGGTGGGGGCTACATTGAGCAGCTGCTTCCTGTTGCCCCAGAGGTTGCTGCAAGGGTGGTGGTGGTTGGGAGAAAATTGAACTAGAATAAAAACGATTCTCAGGTCCCACCTCAGCTTCACTGGGTTTGCTATTGATGATGCTCGCAGTACAGTCACTGAGGGCACTGAGGCAGTATTGAGGCTGAGAGGACAGGAGGCTTTTGCCCTCCTGGCTTCCTGATTCCGGAGGCTCCAACAGCCGTAGGGATGGGGCCCCGAGGAGTTGAAACACAGGGAACCCGTTCACCTATTAGGGCGCCGTGCGTTACCCCTCGCATTCTCGGCCTTGAGTTCCCTCTCCCGCCCGCCCAGGCCTCCTTGGAGTCCTTGTGGCTCTCGCTGCCTTCCCGGCCTCCTTTGTGAAGAGGTCTTTGCTGGTGCCCCGGGAGCGCCGGTAGAGCTTTCCACACCCTCCCGTTCGACCCACCACCATCCCCCACTTGACCGCTTAAGTTTCTGTCTCTTCTTGGGATCTGTTCTCTTCCTCCATCTGGGATCCTTCCTGGTTCTGGCCCCTAGGAGACGCCACCCGCTCCCCCTCCCCCAACGTATCCTTCGCGACAACGCTCATCCTCACCCCAGTAGCTCCTGCCCCTTTAAGCACCACCTCCCCCCCGCTCCCCCCGCCGCCGGCCCAGGGCTGGGGGAGGAGGCGCCG